GAGAGAGAAGCAAATGTGCTAAAAGGGCAACAATTGATGAATCTAGGTGAAAGGTGTCCAAGTTTGCACTGTAGTATTCTTTCCTCTTTTCTATAGGCTTGGACGTCTTCAGAACAAAAGAACTGAGTACAACAAGGTCCTACTGTGTAGCAATATCTTGTAATACCCTATAATGAAAAAGAATCTGAAAAGGAATACATATATATGTGTAACTGAATGGCTATGCTGTACACCAGAAAACAACACAACACTGTAAACCAATTATACTTCAATCAATCAATCAATTAAAGAATTGTGAAAAAATACACACACGCACATACTCACTATTATGATTACAACCATGAAATGAGTCATATATGGCTATACACTAAAGATGGGAAAGAAAGACTCAAAAGCAAGCACAATGACTGTCAGAGTTACAGGTTTACAGATGCTTTCCTCCATTTTCCAAATTTTCTGTAATGCTACAGCTAGAAGTCAACAGAAAACAAAATCTTCTCAGGTTGGAAGTCAGCAGGTCACTTAGAAGGAAAAGCCCAATAGTCACAGAAGGGAGACCAGGGACGATGGCAAAGGACATGGGTGCCTTCACTCCCTGACTGCTGCTGAGATTCAAAGAGAAAAGTGAAGCAGGAAGGGTGAGCTCAAAGGAGAGAATGGACGGCAATCCTAGGAGCACACAAGCGATCAGGAATGGAAGGCACTGACTCCGGGTCTGTACTTCCTTTAAGGGTCCTCTGATTAGAGAGGACTCTCAACTTTTGAGTTTGGTCTGAAACAGTCAAATGAATACAGAGCATCTCGGAGAAACTTCCTTCCTGCTGTTTCTCCACCAGCCTGCTTCCTGTTTCACTACAAAAAGACAATTTTTCTGCACAAGAGATAGTATGTGTTGGATGGAGACATGGAATCCAGGATTCTAAAATCTAGAATAAAATGCTACTCACATGTCTTAAGATTCCAGTTTTATACTTTAAAAACACGTTTCCCCAAAAAGCCACATTTTTGTGAACTGCTGACTGAACCCCATCTAGGGTCTTGCTTCCTGACATAGAACAAGCACTAACTAAGCAGGAGAGTTCAACTCGGACCCACAGAAGGGTGTGATAGATGTCAGCATCACAAAAACTGGACATCTTTCCCAAGCTCAGTGTGGAGTGATTGCTCCTCAGAGCCTTGAGGGTCCGCCCAGAGACAACAGGGGCTGAAAAACAACCTAGGAACTTTAGACTCCCACACCACTTCTCTTTCCAGTTGCTTAAAAATGGAATTCTGGACAGAGCACGTGCTTTGTTTCTAGATACTGAGGAACTCACAATTACAAGAACCTTTGGATATTCTGTTTAGCATAAATCTCCTAAAATTCTTCACTACATTTACATGAAGCAGTCTCATTCCATGACATTATATGCCAGCCAAACCATACAAATCTGTGGTTACCGTTTTATACATGGGACAAATTCTATTTAGACACCAGGGGAGAGATATCAGCAAATAATTACAATGATTTATTTAATGGACCATAATTTCCCATTGGATTTCTTTATTCTAAAAATGTTTATTAGACTTGTTCAAAAGAGTTAACACAGCAGGCCTGAGGCTGCTATCTTTAGAAGGGCCTGCCTGCAGGGGAACTTAGCTAGCTTGCAGAATGTTTTCTCCATTACTAACTGATAAGGTTATTTCGTTGGGCCTAGGCTCTTTGTACAAGCAATGTGATTTATGGTGAATGCTGTTCTCCTTTTGAGAGCCTGGAATTTGGGTGGTTGCTACGCAGAGAAGGCCCATGTGACAAGCCCCCTAAAGAAACCCTAAACTCTGAGTGTCACACAGGCTTCTCTGGGCATAAACATCACACACTGCACTTTAACTGCTGGGGGGGAGGACGAGCTCTGTGACCTTTCTCAGGAAGGAGAGAGCATAAGAAACCTGCAGACAGACTTCTCCATACCCAGTTATTCCTCTTCCCCTTACTGACCCAGCTGGGTTTGCCTACTCTGTCACCGAAATCAATTCTAGCCGAGTACAACTGTATTCTGATTCCTTCCAGTGAATCACCAAATGCGTGGGCAGTCTTGGGGGACCCCTAAAACAAGACCTAGTTTAATTTAGCAAGTACTTTTGAGTAGCTTACAAAAACATAAAAAATTCTATCCTAACGCTATTATGCCTCTTGAACAGACCACTACAAATCTAAAACCCAGTGGACTGGTCTTCGTAACGGCTGCCATCCGATATATACCAGAGTAGCTGAGAGGTTAGCTCACCAGCTCTAGAGCCCAAAATAATATTCTTACTGCAACTTCCCAGACACTAAGACAAACGTTCTCCACAGGGCAGAATGCAAAGGTTACAGCCCAGGTACATTTGCTCAAAGCCAAGGAATTTTTCATTGTGGGTTTTAAAAAGACATCGACTGTACACGTGCTGTCCATTTAAATATTATTAGCCCAGAAATTCTAGGAAAGGAAGTCATTATTCTAGTGTTCATATTTCTTGTCACACTGTTGAGGATTGAATACAAACAGTAATCTTGTTTGATCGACATACAGTCCCAACTCAGCTCACATTAGAGCCGGGCCATCAAAGCAGTTATTTGCTTTTCGGTGGTCACTGACCACCGAAAAGGCAGGGACAAGCCGGCAAGGTTCTTCTGGAAGCCCAGTGTCTGCTGCTGGATTAAGTCATGGGCAACCACTCCCTGAGAGGTGTCAAGACCAGACTATACTATATCCTCCCCTGCTACCTACATTCATTACTTTAATAGGTAGTAAAGAACGGCTGCATACTAGGGAGCCAGGGAAACAAAGATAAATCACATGCTGGCTGCTCTTAAGGAACACTCCATTTCGGGTCTAATGCACAGGGATTCTCTGACTAGCCTGGAAGCCAGCTACTCTGGAATTCCAATACCAGCATCAGAGTTTTGTTAAGAGGTCTTTCCTTTCTAAGACATACTGTGTCTTGCTCAGGAGTTGCTAGCAAGCAGTCACTTTTCTCAGAAACTACCTGTGAGTTTTACCCATAGACCACCAGCCCCCAGGTGGAAAGTGGCACACTGCCCAGCACACAGACACCATTCACATACTACTTGATATTTGCAAACAACCAGGTAGTCATGCATGAATTATTATGAATGAATTATTTCTCTCAGCCATCTAACTTGTTCCACTGTCATTCTCCTTTCATGTGTGAGCACCCGAGATAACGGAGACAATAAAGTGGCAGGAAGGGTCAGCACATACATCCGACATGGCACCAGACTGGAATGTCCCTGCCATGTAAGCTGCGCAGCCTCAGAACACAAGAAGCTCATTTCCATGTGCAATCTCATACAACACCATGCCACATGAGTCAGAAAAAGTGGAGCTGCTCAGCTAAAGCAGGGAAGAGCCTGGAGCTACCGCCCACCCTTCCACCCCACCCCCCATCTCCCACTGCATAGCCTACTCCTCACAGCAGCCTGGACTCCAGCTTCATAGGGCACAGGGTAAAAACCAGTGCACTGGTTCAAGAGTGTAAAGAGTGATCATTAATTCAGCAAGATGCCCAACACACAAAATACATACAGATGCTCCCCTCTGAACACACAAGTAAAGGAAATGCTAGAGAACTGTGAGCCTCTCCTAGCAGGTAATGTTGCAAACAAGCAGGCTTGTGTAACAAAGCACACATGTACACAACCACGCAGTGATCCTGCAGTCCTCTATCACAATATCACAAGGGTTATTTGCTGGGATGAGGGTCTGCAGTGGTAATGTTCCAAATAACATATATCTGGTTATCCTGGTAATAACTCTACCCAAGTCCATGATTCTGGTTCGTTCCTTTCACTTTTAAAGTTATTACATACAATATTCTTACAAGAGACTAAGTAAAGATGTAAATTCTCCCCAAACTCATATTTAAATGCAAAGAAATCTTAATGAAAATCCCTAAGGGGATTTTTTTAATTCAAACTTAACTTTAAAAATGATTGTAAAAATTTTTTTAAATAAAAAAATAAAAATCATTGTACAGTTCATCTGGAAGAATAGCAAGATACATTTTTTAAAATATTAAATAATAATGGGAGCAGGGTAGATAAGGGCTTGATTTACAATAATGCTATGAAAAAAGAGATGAAATCATCAACGGAACAAAATAGAAATCCCTGAAACAAATCTAATCCACACAACTGACTAACAAGTGGCAGGGTGAGGGTGGGGGTGGGTCGGGGGAGGCAGATCCCTACCCCACAAACCTCACACACTACACCAAAAATAAAAGTCCATATAGATTACTATAAAATTTAAACTATAAAATTGAAACCATAAAAGTACTGGTGGAAAACAAATGGGTAATCATTTATATAACTATCTTTTGATAGGGAAAGACTTTAGGCATGATACTAATGACATAATCCATACAGGTAAAAGATATGACTACATAAACTTAAAAATATACATAAATAAGGACTACACAAAGTCTTTATTTAAAACTTTCTAGGGAAAATAAAAACTAAGATTAAAACTAATAAAGACCATTAACAGCTTAGAAGAAAAACAAAATCACTTTGAAAAAGTATTTGTAACCTAACAAAGGATCACTGTTCTTTATAGATTACCAATCATTAAGAAAAAACGATAATTTCCAAAGGAAAATAGGGCAAAGGCTATGAACAGGCTATTCATAAAACTAAGAGCTAATAAACATATAAAATATTCATATATATTTTTTAATCAAAGAGTTAACAAAAGAAACCCCCTTTTTTCACTCACCAAAATGACAAAAATTTCTAAAACAATACTTAGCATCAGAATGATTTGGAAAGCTGAAATGTTACTACTGTAGATATGACTAAGTCATTTTCATTAAAAGAAAAAAGTATGTTAAGAGGGGAAAAAAATTATTCTCAACTTTTGGGAAAAAAAATCCTACAATGATATTAAATTTGATGAGAAGCCTAAGATGTTGATAACTGCATCCTGAGTTGTTGCTAGGAACAGTAAGTTGGTTACCTGGAAGACAGCTTGCATCCCTGTAGCAGGTAGGCATTCAGACTCCCAGTTGCCGCAAGTAACAGCCCCAGGTATGGAGGGGAAGGCTTCATCGGCCTAGAAGAAAACTCGGGATGGAACTGGACACCGACAAAATAGGGGTGATCTGAAATGAGAATAATCATGACACAATTGAAGCAGACAAATATGAGAATAGCTTTAAATGTCTTCTCATCTTTAAATAAGAAAACCCATTAAATGGTAAGATGATTATTTAACTTGTTACTGTCAGAGCCAGTTATTTTCATGATCCATCTTGGCAGTAGAATTCCAAGTTGCAAAACACATCTCACTAATGAGATCTAGCATTTTATTTGTGGAAGGTGTTAAGAGTGAGCAAAGTTAAGCAAAAGTTTTTTAATGGTAATATGATCTGCTTTCCCCAAATCTGCCTGCTATCTGAAGGCCCTTCAGAGACTTATACTGCCTCCATTTCCATTGGGCCCAGGGCAGGCCACCCCAAAATATGCCTCAATGGCGTATTGATTAGTTTGAATTAAAGTTACTTAAGATAGAGCTGGTGCAAGAGGAATGCTTTGACCCTCCTCTCTGTCTCCCTGAAAGCAAGAAATAAACCTCCCTTGTGAAAGGTGCCCTCCCTGCATCTGGAGGTAGAACAACACCCTTATCGCCAGAGATAGGGAATTTGGACAGAGAAGCCTATATAAATAAACCTTGTTAATTTAATTGACTACCCCAACCCCAAACTCTGTTTAGATTCTTTACTAATTAAGCACCCAAAGCCTGTTTCTTTGTCCTGTTAATTCCTCACAAATTTACTGCTTCTCTTTCTCTAAAAAGTATAAAACCGGCTTGCTTTGGCCACTTGTTAGGTCCCATTTCTATGAGACTTCAATGTGCACAAATTAAAATTTGCTTCTTTTTCTCCTGCTAATCTGCCTTGTGTCAATATTATTATTAGTCCAGCCACAAGAACTCAGTTGGGGTAGAGAGGGGGAAAGGTTCCCTGCCTCAACATCCTGGTATCCTCATAGTTCAGGCTAACTCAAAGTCACTCCTTCTCTTAGATGGCTTCAGGCCATTTCCAACAAGGTCTCCTTTCCCAAGGGACAAGCCCCCAGGAAATGTAGCAGGTATAACTGCTTTTCTAGTCACAGCTTTGGGTTGAATATTAATCCTGGATAGCACCACGAAGTTGACCAGGCACTCGTATTTCAGCCTATGCCAACTTATCTCTCATGATGAAGAGTCTCTGAGTGATAAAAGGAGGGCCTTTCAACATGTTAATGGTGGTAATGGCCCAAAGTGGCGAGAGTTCAAGATATTTTTATTTTCTTCCTTATACTTCTCTGTATCGTGTGAATACCGTTCCTTTACAATGAACACATATTTGTTACATTGTCAGAGGGCAAATTAAGCTATTTCATATTGAGGGCTGTAAGAAGCCCCTATATAAGCAATTCAAGTTTTCCCAGATATAATGGGAACAGAGAGGTAGCTTTTCTCAGGTATCTGGAATGCCCTACTTGGGAATAGTAAAAATGAACGGGCAACATTTCCAAATCTGGGTAGAAGTTTTCTAGGATTACAAATACCTTTCCCCAATCAGAACTCTCAAAAACTATGTTTACTCCCAGATTAGGAAGCAACTCCTAATTAGAGACTGGGCAGCTCTCTAATCCCATAATTTCGATAGTAGAGTATGGTCAGTATGTATTCCTTACTTTAAAAATCATTTTCATTGCCATATATATATCAAACTGAAGATGAGAAAATGTGAGTTTTATAGGATGAAATAAACATAATTTCAAACCTTTCAGTGAGATGCTTTATCAAATGATCAAAAAAACGAGTATGGAATTCGAAATCACAAATTCCCATCACTTAACACTGGAGACCTAAAACTACTGCTCAGTAGTGAGGAAATGATGATTGAACAGCAATATCCACTCTCCTAAGATTATCATTTAAAGCTTTGCTAAACAAAATGGTAGTCCCTGGCCACAGGTGATTATTTAAATTCATTCAAATTAACTGAGCACATTTCAAGTGTTAAATAAGCTACAAACAGCTAGTGGCTACCATACTGAATAGGGCAGAATATTACACCATTGCAGTAGGTTCAGCTCTGAATCCAGACAAATCCAGTGCAGAAATCCTCTACATCACAACTAGGAAGAAGCTTCCTTAAATTACAGGGACACTCGGGTATGAAAGATTGGTGAGAATGCCACCTTCTCTCAGGAACGTGCTCCCTCAAGAAAAGTAGAAGAGAAATCATCCACCTGTAGAAAAGAAACTAAGCTTTAAACTGAAGATGTGATGAATCTTGCAGCACAGCATGTAGGGATGTCTTTGAAAGAAGGAGACAATAATTGTGTTTTTGTACCACTACAGCTGAGCAACGGATCACGTCATAGCCAGGGACAGAACATTTGAAAGAATGGATTGTTGCTCTGAATCACTTTATCAAAAAGATCCCCTATGCTAATATGAGGAAAAAGACTAAACAGTCTTTATTTTGATGATGTTCTATCAGTTAGATAAAATCTCTTTTAAATAAAGTTCGTAATTGCTTTGAAACAAATTCTGACATACTCATCTCAAGCTCTGGTGTTCCTTTCGGAACTCCTTTAGGAAGGTACCGATTCATGGATATGGTAAGGGTGGCTATGATTAAAATCTTCTGGGAAATTTTTCTTAATAGAATGAATTCCCTTGTAGTCAGCTTTTTAAAAATTGCAAGGTTTTACAGTGGCTCTCATTTCCCTTCCAACCCACATGAAATTTGAAACTGTCAATGGGAAACTAAATCCTTGCAATGAAAGACACTTCCAAGTGTTTGCTGACAATAATGAGAGCCAGGAGAATTAAAGAGAAAAAGTACCTGAACAAAGTAAACAAACAGTAATAAGCTTAAGAAATTTGTCTGCCGTCCCACAAGGAAGACTTCAGAGACTTCAACACCAAACAGTGACCCACAGGATAAAAATGGTAAATCATGGGTACTTTCATCAGAAAGACTACAGGAAATATATCCTCATATTCTAATTTAAAATTTCAGGCATGGATTGATCATCTTAGGTGGAACGTTCATTGAAAACAAGAGGAGAAATAAAATGCCACAGAGGTAGGGGCAGAAGGAAGCTATGACCTGGCTTGGCTCCAGGCCCATCAGTGACCAGCTAGATGGCCCTGACAAGTGGCTTAACCTCCTTCCACTCCAGTCTCCTCTGTAAAGTGGGAATAACATCACCTGCCTTGTAAGTTACATAAGGCACGTGGAGTCTCTAGCAAAGGGTCTAGTGAGAAGCACCCAGTGAGTGCATACTCAATGTCCATTGCTTTCCCTTTCTCTGGGTCCAGGAAACATGCTACTGCACTCAAAGAAGCCTTTCCCAACTTCAATTCTCCTCTCTGCTTGGGACTTCTGAGGTACCTGAATAGAAGAGGGACAGAAAAGGAAAAGGACACAAAAGGAATTGGAAGTAGAACAGTGACATTGGCTAAGATGGAAAAAGAAGTAGGAAAATTAGAAGAGTAAGTCGTCCAGGTTATCTGGAACCTAAAGCATATAGATTGGAGAGAAAGGCTCTAGAAAATTATGCTACCATTTTTAGACTATCCTATACACACTAAGCATTCAATACACAAGGGTGGTTTATCCAACAAATTACTGTCCCTTGCGCTGCAGTCATGAGCAGTCCAGTGAGGAGGAGACTGGGCCATTCTTCCTCAGAGGAAGGGGATTCTCAACAGTAGGCTGCCTGCCTTCCCCAGAGTGCCTAACTCAGAGGCTAGCAACAAGAGACGCCCCTGGCAGCACACAGTGATGGTTAAGGAACCATACACACTACTGGGAGGGCTGGTAGGCTTAAACACTACATCATTGTACAGGAGATTCACACTAATAGGCTCCAAAATGATTGGGATTATAAGTGGCCTGTTTTTTCATGCACTTTATATTTAGTGCATATGATTTATATTTTGTTGCATATCTATTCAAAGGAGAGAGGAAAAGAAAGAGAGCAAGGAAAATGGGGCTCAAGTTCTATCTTTGTATGCCTACTATTGACAAAAAGACATCAGCTCACCACAATCACCACAAAAATTTTCAAAAATGAAGAGTCTACTTACTTGCCAATTCAATGATTTCCATCCTCTCCCCATCGACATCCTGACCTACAAAACTTAAGTCATTCTGCTCAAGTTGGTTGATCAGGTTAGGATTCACCTGGAAAAACAAGAAATTAAGTGTCTTTGGGCAAAAGAGCAATACAGACATATCAGCTTATGAAAATGTCTTCCATCAAACTGGGTAGGTTTTCCATTTTGGTGATGCTCTAAATAGTAGTTAATTTCTATATTCAAAGCCCAAAGCCTATTTTTAAACTCAGGATGAACCTGAGAAATAGTTTAATTACAGCCACTAATTCTGGGAGGCCCACCTTCTATTGCCCAAAGATGAGTTTCAAAAAGTAGGACTGGGACTACATCAAACTAAACAGTTTCTGCACAGCAAAGGAAACCATCATCAAAATGAAAAAGGAAATCTACTAAATGGGAGAAGAAATTTGCAAATCATATATCTTATAAGGGGTTAATATCCAAAATGTATAAAGAACTCATACAGCTCAACACACACACACACACGAAACAAAAAAAAAAAACCCAGTTGAAAAATAGGCAAAGGATGTGAACATTTTTCCAAAGAGGACATACAGATGGCCAGCAGGTACATGAAAAGATGTTCAACGTTAGCAATTACCAGGAAAATGTAAATCAAAATCACAATGAGATATCACCTCACACCTGTCAGAAAGGCTATCGCCAAAAAGACAAGGAATAACACGTGTGGGAAACAATGTGGAAAAAAGTGCCACAGTGCTAGTGGGACTAAATTGGTACAGCCACTATGGAAGACAATATAGAGACTCCCCAAAACTTAAGAATGGAACTACCACATGACCTAGCTATTCCACTTCTGGGTAATTATTTGAACAATATGGAAACACTAATTCAAGAAAATATATACACACTATGTTCATTGTAGCATTAATTACAATAGCCAAGATATGGAAACAACCTAAGTGTCCACTGATGGATAAAGAAGATGTGACTGACTGATTGATTGATTGATAGACAGATAAATAGAATACTACTCAGTCATAAAAAAGAATTAAATCATGCCATTTGCAACAATATGGATGGACCTTAAGGGTATTATGCTAAGTGAAATAAATCAAAGAAAGACAAATATGACTTCACTCATATGTTGACTCCAAAACAAAACAAAACAAAACCAATGAACAAACAAAATAAAACAAAAACAACTCATAGATACAGAGAACAGATGAGTGGTGACCAGCAGGGTGTAGGAAAAATCAGTGAAAAGGGTCAACTGTGTGGTAATGCACAGTAACTAGACACATGGTGGTGATCACTCTGCAGTGTATATAGATGTTGAACTACAATGTTGTACACCTGATACTTACATAATAAAAAAAAAGTAGGACTGTGACACAGATATTCTATCTTGAAACCTTGAGACTAGCTGTTTACAGCTGTCCCCATATTTGCTTCTTCCCCTGAGTCATATGTAATTAACTCTCTCTCCCCATATCACAAATCTGCTCGAGGACTGAAATAATCTTATTTCCTTGTGACTAAACCAAAAGCTTTCTTTATGTATAGTTACATAAACGCTCTAAAGAGAAGCTTGGAACAACTTTTCTACTAAAATATTGGTGACAGATGACAACTTGACTACCTGGCTCATGGCCCCTTCCCTCATTCACCTCATCAGTGGCCCGTTCCCAAACTTCACAGCCTCTCCTTCACAGAATGTGCTTTCTCATCGAAAATCTAAGTGGGGTCCCACCTCGTCTCAATCTTAACCCCATATAGTTTTATTTTTAACATTAGGCTAGTTCTCATAATTTGTAATTATTTTTCCTTTTTAAACAACTTAATTGAGATATAATTCACATACTATACAACTGACCCACTGAAAGTATACAATTCAATAGTTTCTAGTGTATTTACAGAGAATTTCAACCAACATCATAATCAATCTAAAAATATACCCTATAGTCTCTCACCACCATCCCCCAACTCCCTTATCACTGCACACACCACAGTGGCACTACTATAGTGACACTACTGGTAGCCTACTTGGCATTGATTCCCACCTGTCCTCCCTCAAAACAAAACCCTGGGCTTGTTCGGTTATCTACTCCACCCACACATGGCCCACGGGACGCCATCTCCCCCATTCTAGAAGTTGGTCCTAACTGGTCTAAGCCAAACATGATAAATCCATTCCTCTTGGCAGATGAATGATGCAAGAACCCAGGCTTAAGTCTGGTTCAGCATTGCCCTGGCAACAGTTACTAGTTCACAAGTGGAGAGGTAATCTAAATTGACCCAATCAGACTGAAAAAAACTCTATGTCAAGGAGAGATGCATGTTGCCTTAGCTGCCACTGGTGGCCATCTTACAACTGTCAAGGAGATCAGGCTAAGGAAAAGGCAGACGCACAGAAAAGGGTAGGGCCAAGAGCATCCCAGAGACAGCAGGAGCCCAGATTGTATCATGCCTGGGGCCTGTCCAGCCTTTGGACTAGCTGTGACCTAAGATAAATTTCCTTATTGTTTAGGCTGGTTTGAGTGACTTATGAGAGGAATTTTGATTCTTCGCAGTCAAAAGCATCATAATTGACGCACCAAGTAATCCCGGTACAGACAATCTGCATTTTGGGGAACTATGCTTCTCGTGGGGCAATCTCAACAGTAACTACTCTTAATCATGTGACACTAAGCTTCATGCTCAATGCAGCTTTCAAGAGGCTCACAAACCAAGAATCCATCATGTGATACCCAGAGATGTATCCCTATCCCCAGAGGCATCTGATTGAGAAGATGCAAGTTCCCTTTTTCCAACCCTTCCAAAATAAAGTGCAGGAGGTTAAGGAGAAGGATGACAACTTTATCTTGGTCCAAGAGACAGCACTTAGGGTCACACAGAATCTTGAAATATCCCATGTGTAGATAATTAAAAATTTCGCCTTTGGAAAGCAACGACCAGGGTCTCCTCGCCCCTACCTGCTTCCTCTGGGAAATTTGGTAACAATCCCCGGAGCCCTGTGAATACCAGGCTGGACAGCTTTTCCAAAGGCCTGCCTGTAATCACTGGGGTTCCTCGCACTAAGCATCTATATTCTTCAGTAATTCAGTGAGGAAGCCGTACCTCATACCGATGTCTGTGTCTTTCTTCTATAAAAGGAACATCACCATAAAGTTTCCCTGTAAAGATACAAGAGTAAGATTAATATTAGAGTCAGCAGATTTGGAACCACATCCAGGGCATATGTGGTAGGGGGGAAATCTCTCTGATCTCTATCCATCTATCAGAAGCCTACAAAATGAACTAAACTCCAGATAGTAATCTAGATTTTCTTCTTATCCTATAGGACAGGAGTAGCTTCTCTGAAACCCTGAAGCAATTCTCAAGGAAGCCATCACCAGGGCATCCAGGGAAGTCCACCATGGACTCCAGCAGATGTGCGCTCCTTTTACACACCTGCCTGCCAGACTGAGAGCCCTAGTTAATGTCTGCACCATCACTTCTGTGCAGATTCACTACAGGGCTCATTTTACAAAAGAAGAAAATGAAATCAAAGGACTTGCCCAAAGACCCGCCCCGCCGGCAGCCCAGTCCCATCTTGAGTCCAGTCCTCCTCACACCTGGCCCAATGTTTTCTCCACTACACGGGCCACCTCTGTTCTCACACAGTGCTGGTCACATTGGTTTACATCCCACCTTAAAGATATGCCTATCCTTTGACTAAACTTTGACCTCGAAGAATTCACCCCCAAAAAACAGAGTGAGCTCCCTGGTGATGATGTTAATGACAGCTAGTATTGAAGGGATATGTTTTAGAAGAAAAATGGAAACAGTGGGGAAAACTCTGACATGCCACTGACAGGGGGTCATTCAAGACAGAGCCTTTGTACTCGAACTATCAGTTCATAAAAATGAAAGGAAAAATGGAAAGTTAGAGCACAATAATGCCCAGTTGAAAAAAAAAGTGGAAGCATTTGTATCATGAAGTTACCAAAAAAAGCAGCTGAAGATCTGGACCTGACTTTGAGAGGATCCTGACTCCACTATGACCTCTGATTTGGGGATTGACTTTTTTTCCTCCTAGAGTCCAAAATCTCTCCTCCACTTCCTTTATTACAATCAATGATGAAGCACATGTAACACTAAAGCCTGCCAATATTAACAGAGATGGTGAGGAAATGGCAAAAATCTCCAAATTATGATATAAGGAATTACACTGAAGAATTTTATTTGAGTCACTGGGACTAGCAGGATATCGTGTGCACTGGTGAACCTGCAAGACTTCTGCCTGCTGCCTGGCATAAGGCACTTTTGTGTTTGCTAAGATATCCCAGGGATGACAGGAAGTGAAGAGGTTGTAGTGACCCTGGAGCCAGACCACCTGGCTTTAAATTCCACCCTACCATTTAATGGATGTGTGGCCTAGGCTAATTACTTCACCTCTCTGCCTCAGCTTCCTCGTGTGTAAAATGGCAGTTATGATAGTCTCTGCTTCACAGGATTGTTGCAAGGATGAAATAAATCAAAATACGTGAAGCACTTAAAACAGTAAGTAAACCATGTGATTGCTACTGTCATCTCTAGACTATGAAATCCAACCAGAAAGAATGGAAGCCAGAACATAAGCTCTACAAGGTAACAGACAAGGTAGGGAACTGTCCCCTCAATTCTTGAGACGAGCGTCAGGCACAGAAGCAGGGACTCAATACATATTTGTTTAATGAATGAAGCATCTATATGTATTATGTATGTATATATATATATGTAGAAAGAGAAAGAATGTATACATATATGTATACAGAACTTTGGAAAGGTTGTTTTGTGCACTCAATCTTTCTGAATCACTTACAAATCTGTCAGGAATGAATTTATGAAGTTAATCCACTGCCATATCCATGAAAAAAGAAAAAAAATTAAAAATTCCTCTAACAGTATCTCAGAATCAGCTCAGAATGTTACCAAGTGAAAACACCTTAAAAACAAAAGAAAACTAAGAATGCTCACCCCAGGGCCCTGGCATCAGGGATTCTGATTTGGATGCTCTCAGGAGAGTGCCCAGGCATGTGGGTTTTTTCAAAGCACTGAGTGAAACCGTGTGCATTCCTAGTTAGGAACCAGTGAGCCACACTGTCAATGGAAGTGCAGGAGGACAATCAATGACAAGCGAGATACTGGATGTTCCTAAGTGCAGACTGTATCCAGGCATGGAGTACAATGACCCTCAGTTACGGTAAGTATACCATGCTGTTAGGAGCATGTCTCTGGATGGATTTACTTAGTACACAAGCCATGAGGTGAGCCGAGGCACAGGGGGACATCCTCAACAACAACAAAGTGATGTGGTCTTCCTTTCTGTCCTAGTCTTTTTGCAGACAAAATAAAATGCAACAGACAGTAACTGCATATAAGCTTAATGTTCACTTAAGAAGCAAGTGGCAACAATGCTTTAGAGAAAGACAACTAATAAAGTCTTAGGACCTATAAAACACTCTCAATGTGGCAGCAAGACACCAACAAAGCACGTAATAGGGGCATCAGAAACAAAACACTACCAAATCACACCGTCTCCTCTAATTCACTACTGGGTAGATTCTGTCTTGTATATAATATATATTTAACCCATTAACAATCCTGCCCACCCTCATCCTCATGTTAGTAATCCTAGCAACTGAGCCTGATTTGTTTCTCTCTCCTTTTCAGAGCCAAAAATTTTCCCCCCAAAAAGCTGTACAAGCTAAAAGGTGGAAGCAACCCAAATGTCCATGGACAGGTGAACGGATTTAAAAAAACAAAGTGGTTGGGCAGGGGGTGGAAGAGATAGACTGGGATTTCATAATTGTAGAATAGATAAACAAGATTATACTGTATAGCACAGGGAAATATATACAAGATCTTATGGTAGCTCACAGAG